GAACTGCGTGTCTTTCGAAACGCGCGGCTGAACTGCGTGTCTTTCGAAACGCGCGGCTGAACTGCGTGTCTTTCGAAACGCGCGGCTGAACTGCGTGTCCTTCGAAACGGGCGGATGAACTGCGTGCCTTTTAGTCTAAGGTATCGAAGTAAAGCTTTCAAAACTTTATCTTTCCTGACTACAAAATCTCTCAATGTTACATCAGATTGTAATTTCACAACAACAACATTTGAGATGTCAGTAATTAAATGCGGTAATTTGTCTGCAACTTCCTGAACATTTTGTGTAAAATTTATGACTTGACCTTTATATTTATATTCCAATTTTTTGATTCTGTATAAAGAAATGACAGGATGGACACGACTAATTAACTGTTTTTCAATGTAGGATAAGTTTTGAAGCTCAACTGGTACATCTAAAGGATCCATATCATTTTCTATAGAAAACAATGCACAATTTTTTGTACAGCTAAAATTTTTGAAGAAGCTATGTATAACTTTTTTCCCACAAGCTCTACATTCAACCCAATCCAAAGACTTCAAATAACAAGTGAAGTTGTACTGCTCTACATCGCAGACATCTGAGTTAAAACTTACATTAGCTTTTTTAGAAAGTCGCTGTAAGTACCTCCTTTGAGCATTAAGTCGTTTTTCAAACACTACCTTAGATTTTGATTTTCTTTTCCTGATTTTTGACATTTTTTTCTTAGCTTTTTCACGGTTAAAAGCTTTTGTTTTTTCACTGTCCGAACTCCTCTTTTTTCTTTGCCTATCTGCAGCTCTTTCTCTTGCATACAATTTACTGTATGTCTGCAAATCAAAAAAAAACTGATCAAAAACAGATATCTAACACACATAAATAAACAAAGAAAAAAGACACATAGAAAACAATAAAACCTATAAAATATAAAAAGGATAAGAATAGATAAAATGATATATCTACATAACTTTGGGAAAACAAAAAGTGTACTCTTTAAGGTTTGTAGAGTAACAACAAGACAGTGTTTTCAAGTAAAAAATTACAAAAGTTCTTATTACTTAGGATGACGAGTGAATTTAATTTTGAAATGAAGCCCTTTCATGCCACGGAATTTAAAATATAACCCTTTCTCGCTTTCACACATATCCTTAAGTTTTTGAATGACTGGAACCATATCTACAAGTACACTACGAGGCATGTGTACATAACACCAATGGTCTTCTACGTCAGCATCTTCTAATTTGAGGCGGATAGTTTTCCCTTTACTTGTTTCAACTTCGAGAAGATCCAAAACTTTATAGTAATGATTTATAGTTAGATTTTTTATGGATTTATACGTAGGGATTTTAGATGCTGCTTGGTTTATCTTTTTGATCTCTTCATCATCAGACGAATCATCCTATACAATTTTAAAGTGTGTCAGTCCTGATTAAAAGCAAATTTTATGATTTTTGAAAAAAGAAAAAGAAAAACACTACTACACAATAAGAAAAGGTTTCCTATCAAGATATCGGTTATGAATTTAGACTTCAACTTACCTCATCAGTGTTATCTTTTGTCTCAGGTTCTTTTGTGTCTGTTTTCTTCCTGCGTTTCTTTTTAGGTTCTTGTTCAGAAATAGAAGTTTTTGATGATGTTGATGTTTCATCAGAATCCTTAAAAAAAGGTTATACAGGAAAAAATAAAATAAAAAATTGAGAGCTAGGAAAAATGGGAATGGAAATGTATATGACGTTTCAAGAGTCATCATCACCTTTTTAATTTTATCTTTGGTCTTTGATTTGGAGCATTTCTTCTTCTTTTCTGGGGTTTGAGGTTTCACATCACCAGTTTTCTGTGGATTTTTTTTTTAAGGGAATGAAACATGTTAAGGTAACAAACCAAACCAAGAAAATGAGGATTAAAAAATAAGAATGTGAACAAGAATATCTAGAGATTTAAGAATACAAAATGTATAGAGTCCAAAATTAAATAAAGATGTAACATTACCTTCTCAGTCTCTTTCTTTTTATGACTACGCTTCTTCTTAGCCCCATGGTTTTTCTTTTCGTCATTTGAAGACTGTTTCTTTTTCTCACTAGAAGTATCTTCATCAGAATTTTCATCTTTTTCTGAATCTGTGTCAATTATAGCCTACAAAAAAACACGAAATAAAGGATGAGTGAATTTATCAATATGTAACAAAAAATAGTTTAGAAATTTCATTAAACTTACTTCATCTTCCTCAACAACATCAGATAAACAATGAGCTATTTTGCGAAAATACTTCTCATACTTCTCTTCTGAAAGTTTAATTTTGACACCTTCCGTGATAGTTAAGTTATAAGATGGATAATGATTCTGTGACAGAATAATGGAGTAATTAAGGTTGTCAACTCAAAGACAAAATAAAATAAAGATAAAAAACACTTACAGCGTTATCAAGAGATTTAGAAGTACATGGCAAGTTCAACGTATCAGTTATGAATGTTGGTTTCACAACATCAATAGACATGTCATCAACAAGTTCCTCAGATAACTCTATTTCAACTCCATCTTCCAAATTTACTGTGTGAAATGACTTCTGTAACAAAAAGCAAATGAAGTCATTGATGATGATACAAAACAAAAATCTAGAACAAAAGAAAATTTTTTTTTCCAATATATAAGACCTCAATGTTTGGCTGTTCTGAATAAGAAGTTTCCTCGTCTTCTACGAAGGAAAATGACATTGAAAAGTCATTGTCTACTATCTGAAACAGGAAATACAATGGTACCATTGACACAAACAAGACACTATTGAATGTAATCTGTTAAAAAATTATTTTTCTTAAAAAAGAGTTTAAACTTTGACACAAATTTGAATGGTTGCGTTGTCGATGAAAATAAGGCAAGCAGTCACGGGTGAAAACAATAACCAGATTGATAACGAAGCAAAGACTTGTGAACAAGTTGTCGTCGCTTTGCTATGTGAAGAATGTATGCGTACGGCAAATCTTTATTTGTATACTGTTTTAAAGAATTGAAAGGTTAACTTTTCAGCGTAATAAATGATAATGCAATAATTATCACACTAGTGTGACTAACAGCAAAGAGCTTAAAGCAGGTGCGTGGTAGGCAGGCCCGCAACGCATGTATGCTTAACAGGAATGAATAACGCCCAGGCGCTAAGCGGACGGCATACAGTTACGAATATCTAAAATGTAAGCGTGTAGAATTTGACTACCAGTAACGTAAGGATTGCGAAGTACTAGGTGTTCAGAAAGAATCGGCCCCGCGTAAGTAGATACCCCGCGCTCCGGGCGAGGAAGACAGTCGCGGGCAGGCCGGCGCACGCTGCACTGTTGTCGATGTGGTCGGGGGCTCGGGGGGAGGGGCGAGGAGAGGGGTAGAAGATCAAACGTCGACCCGTTGGGCTGCGCTGTCCAATTGGCAGCCCCCAGCAGCGGGAAACGTTGAGGGCATCATCTGGGCCTCGCGCCAATGGCACGCCCACCTTTCACCCTTGATAGTAGGTATCGCTGACATCTGGTCGGAGAAGATCTTAAATACAGTGAGTTGAAAAATTAGACTTCGGAAAGCTTCTACTTTGAATACTTAATGTGTGTATGCCCCACCTACCAAACGGTGGGTCGCGACCAGATTGTGCCCCAGCATGCTGCCATTTGTAACCCTCAGTACTTCTTCGCGGGACACCTGTCGTGCCTTGGAAAGTATTGGCCGCGCATCTGAAGTAGGGTCATTAGGGAGCTAGGCAGTACGCACCCCGAGTGTCGAGCGCGTAAACACGCTGAGCCTCTCTAGAGGGTCACATTTATAGCGCTGTGCTCGCTAGGCTGAGTCATGGAGTAGTGTTGAACACCGCTGGAAGACCGGATCGAACTCGCCAGGCGCAGGCGCGCGATGTCGAAGATATAAAAAGCCACATCTAGCGGTACAGCTAGACTAAGCCACCGCAAGAAACGTTCAGAACGAAACAGTGACTTACTCTTGCGGGCCCAACGCTATAGATGTGGGCCTCTAGATCTCCCAGATCGCACGCCCGGCCCAAGCGAGTGCGATGCGGTCTTGTAGCAAAATCAGCAAGAGCACTCGACTCAGCCTAGCGGGCCCGGCGTTATAAATGTGGCCCTCTAGAGAAGACCAGGACGTGTACACTCCCCACATACGAGGTGCCTACTACCTACAGCCCTAGTGGCCGTACTCCAGAGGCTCGGCCACTACTTTCTAGGAGACGACAGGTGTCCCGCGAAAAAAAACTTAAGGTCACCATTGACAGCATCCGGGGCCACATTATGGTCGCGACACAGGGTTAGGTACGTGAAGCAGAAAGACATTACCTGTTCAAATTAGAAGATTTGCGAAGTGTAATTTTTCAACTGACCGTACTGAAGATCTTGCCCGACTAGATGTCAGCGATGACCACCAGCAAGGGTGAAAAGTGGGCGTGCCCTCGGATCGAAGCCCAGAGGAGGCCCCCGACGTTCCCCGCTGCTGGAGGCTGCCATTTTGACGGCCCAGCCCAGCAGTACGCCGTCTGACTTGCTGTCTCCCTCCCCGCACACACCGACAACACTAACACATCGACAACAGTGCAGCGTGCGCTGTCCTGCGCCCACATTTCTGCCACGAGCGGAACGCAGGGCATCGACTCAGGCGGGGGCGATTCTATCTGAACACATAGTAACAGGTGGCTGATTCACGCAAGGCACTTCTGTAGTTATGCTGTACTGCATGCACGAGTGCGAGCGGGTTGCCTACTCGCTCGGCTGGTAAGGCGCCGTAGACAGGAGCGAAAGGCAAACACACCCGCACTCGTGCATGCGATACAGTATAACTACAGAAGTGCGCGGCGTGAATCAGCCACCTGTTATAAAATATTAAAATTTTCATGGAAATACCAATGATTATGAAGATTTCAACGAAGATTGCATTAAAAATAACAAAGAGACAAAAAATAGGTTACTTTTGATCATAAAGGGTTGTAAACATACCACTTCCTAAATTTTGCTTATAATGTACTGGATGAAGGCATCCGGGCGGGTTGCATAACGAGACGGGACCATAATGGTCGGAGATGATAGGTGGTATGCAAGCCCGCCAGCACACCTGCATGCGGTATCATTAATAAAGGTAGGACACTGTGTCCCACCAAGTAATTCTAAGTGATAAGGCAGGATTAGTACTACTTACATCTTCTTCAGTCGACATTTTGACACAATGTAGCAAAGGTGAAACTGGGTAAACGCAGGAAGGTGTTGATCCGGCCTTTTTGAGGAAGCTCACGTTTTATTAAAAGATAGGGTATCTTGGTGTTCGTCGGCTGACGTAAGAGTGGGCCAGCGGCGATAACAGTGAATTTAGATAAAAGAAACTATAAATATAAAAAAAGTGAGGATGTCGAGAAGAATGTACCGAGGATTTTGAATGGTTTCTATGAGATGGAGCAACAATCAATACCATGCACACTCCCAATAATGAAATACACTGTCTTATTTGAAACTGAATATCTTGAAAAGACATGACGCGCAGTAAATTGGATTATGACAAAATAAAAACAACAAAAAAACACAATATTCACGAATAACAATTTTATTACAGACAAAAACAATCAACAAAAACAACAAAATGTAGAATAAGTTTAAAAAACATCATGATCATAAGCTGTAAATAGTTTAACCACGTAAGCGCGAAAACGTCGAGTTAGCACAAGAGGAAAACCCAATGACAGAGGACAGGGAACCGTGACATCGCAAGAAGGTGAAGTCGGAGAACTTTCGCCTCCCACATATTCCTCAGAATACTCTGCACTGTAACGTTGTCGATCTGTCGTAAGGGTAGTTAAAATGAAAAAGACTATAGCCAAAATAAAAGACGCCCCAAAATTGGCGAGTGAGCGAGCGACGCGAATTAAGAAAAAAAAAACAACACTTTCAAAAACTTGGGAAATGAAAAAATACTAAAACTTTGCATATTGAGCGCCGCGGACAGCCTCTTGAGGACCTGGCGATGTTTCCAAAATCCCCAAATGCTGTCCGACCTAGGCTTTGTCCGACCTAATTTTTTCCGACCTCATCGATATGCTGAAATTTTGGAAAATGTGGCTCCTGCAGTTATACTTCACGTCTAAAGCTTAGTGCTACACTGCCGCACTGCCCGTAAGGCCACCTGGGGTAG